CACAGTAACAGCCCTACATATACACAATGCATGGATAGATATTAAATGGACTTCTCTCCTAGAATAAGAAATCTTGGAACTCTACTGAAGTCCAAATCTTCAGATGCTTTCTTGCCTCTCCTATTTGAGTATTAGGATGGGTGACTGAGGATAGGTGACTGGAGTCCCACACACCCAGACCTCACCAGCAGAGGTCAGGAGAGGACAAGATGTGCAAGGAGGAAAGAGCCCTGTTTAGATAGAAATAACGACCCTGGAAAGTCTATTGGTCAGGTATTTTGAGTAAGATTTCACACCACATAAAATTAAGATACAGTTTTTAATGATATGAATAGATTCCAATATTCCATAAGCTATGCAAAATATTGCATTACATAAAGAAATAGCTGAATTCATGAAAATTCATAGCTTTACATATCCTTTCCTCCTTATTAAAAACATCAATAAGCTCGAAGAAACAATATAATCCATTATTAACATTGCTCTCTGTCGAGTAAATATAATAAGTGTGATTGTTTATCTGTTTAAATGTCTGTTTGGGGGAATCCAAAGCACTCTGCAAATATCAACACTAATCCTCTTAAGAGAGACTGCCTACTACTACCCCTATTTTAAACAGAGAATTGTCTTATGTAAAATAATACTCGGGCAAAGCTGAAACTAAAACCACAATTACATGACTATGCATTAGGGTACGAGTCTTCGCAAATGGCAGTAAGTGCGTGCTTCAAGTGTATGCTTTGTAAAAGATTAATAAACACGTGCAGAATTCAGCACGGTACTATTTCCATTCATGTTATTCAACAGAGCCGTATGTGCACAATTTTTTATTAATTTCCGGGAAATTGCAGGGCTTGGCCGTTAGGACTAGGCAGTCACTGAAGAGTATCTGAACGGAACTTAAACCAGAAAAAATGAGGGGAATTCTGATAAACTAAAAGGAGTACAGTCCTAGACTGCTTGTTTACGTACGTCTAAAGTTCTCATTCCACTATCAAGAAACCAAATGTATAAAAGGCAGGTCACGCAATACAAGTGCAGTTTTATACAAAACTTGCACAAAAGGCAGAAACGGAATCTCCACAACAGCCTCAGAATCCTGCTTCTCTCTCCACAAAAGACTGGCAGATGAACAGAAAATTATATCTGATGTTAAACTATTAAGGTATGCACAGATTTTTTTAGTGACTTCCTATTAAACACTTTAAAGTAAATAACCAATTAATTCTAAGTCTGACTGCATTGGGTAGGTCTTTTATTGCACAGGCAAGACTGTGAAAATGTAAAAACAACCACCCTCAAGCATGCATCCTCCACTCGTCTCTGTCTTATAGGTTTTTTCCTTCGCTGCCACCTTCCTTGAATCATCTATAGTACCAGTTCCCAGACTTGTGGACTTTCTGTACCAAAAACTTATAAAAAAGAAAAAGAGAGACGGGGGCACTGAAGGCAGAAGTCTATACCAGGTTGCCAGATTTTATTTTGCCAATTATGGATATCTTTCGTTAAAAGATACCTTCCAATTCTTCTCTTACTAATTTCTCAAATAAAGGCCACTATAACATTCAGAAGTGTTGAAGTCACCATATTTATTGTTATAAAGCAGCCATTACATTGATTTGATGATCCATTTAGCCACCACTGACTCAGCATAGACTATATGCAATGTGCTGTGCTTTGGGGATACAGGAGTGAAGAAAGTAGATACCCCCCGCCCAAGATTACCTCCTAGTGAGCGAACAGACAAAACAAAGAAGCGAGTAACATATTTATAGACTGTGAAAGTGTTAAGTGTTAAAGAGAAAAATAAAGGAAGGAGGGGGATAATTAGCACGGGGGGGGGGGCGGGAGAGGGAGTTTGCAATTTTAGAGATCATGGCCAGGGAGGGTCTTATTCTGAAGGTGAATGTGACATCTGAGTAAACAGCAGAGGAAATGGAATGTGTCTTATAACTATGAGGGTAAAGGGGGAAGCACCTTGGGAGAAGAGGCAGACAAAGAAGGAATATGGTGGGCACGCTCTGGAACCACTAAGGAGGCCGGTGAGAAAGGAAGAGAAGGCACTAAAGATGAACAAGAGACTTAACAGAAACCAGGTCATAAAGGACATTGAAGGTCATTCTAAGGACTTACCCCTTTACTGTGGATACAACTGAAAGCCATTACAATGTTCCAATCAGAGTGTCACGATCTTACGTGACGGGCTCAATCTATCTCTTTTAGTGAACAGAAGGATCGTGGGGAGAGAGGGGGACAGCAGCAGAAGCAGGAAGATAGAAAGCTCCAGAAGAGATGTTAACAGTGGACACGGTGGCAAAAGTGGTTCTGTGGTAGTAAGTCATCAGGTTCTGTATCTATTTTAAAGGCAGAGCTCACAGAATTGCTAACAGATGAAATGTGGGATATGAACAAAAGAAAGTCAAAGATAACTTACAAGTTTTAGGCTGAACAACTCGAAGAGCAGAGCTCCCATTTACTAACATGGGGAAGTCTGTTGGCAGAGTACATTTAAAGAGAGTAATAGAAATTCCAGTTGGGACATCCATTAGACATCTAAGTGTAGACACTTAAATGTGTGTACCAGGGTACACAGCTCTAGGATCTGGGGAGCCAAGTCATCAACACACAGTTGGCATTAGAGCCAAAGACTAGATGAGATGACCAAGTTAAAAATACAGATAGGAAAGAAGTTCAAGGCCTGGGCCCAGGACACCTCAAAGTACAGAGATCAAGGAGATGAGAAGGTACAAGCAGAGGAAACAGGGCGAGCAGCCAGTGAGGAAAGAACGCGCGGAACGCAGGAGGGTCTGAGGGCCAGGAGGAGAGAACATGTCGGAATGGGACCGCAGCCTGCCGCTTCACACACCCTGGCAGATCAGGGCCAGCCTGCGGACAGACTGCTGTATCACAGCATGCAGGGAGTCAGAGAACCTAACATAGGCCAGGAGGAGGTGGGGATAAGGGCGGAGAGCTACAAACCTAACCTGACTGGAATGGATGCAAGAAGGAAATGCAGGAAAGAAATGGTGAAGAAAAAGACAAGACACCTCTGTCAAGAAGCATTGCTCGAAGAGCAAAAGAGAATCGGGGCAGCTCCAAGGAGGGAACGGGGCAAAGGAAGATTCATGGTCTTGCAGTGGTTGTTTTCTGAGAGAGATAAAACACTTCACATTGCTGGGAACCATCCAGCAGAAAGAGAAAGAATTCAGGAGTGAAAGAGGGAAGAAGAGCCCGAGTGATGTCCCTGAACAAGCAACAGTGACTAGACTCCACTGGAACAGATGAGGACAGGTGGGTAGGGGTGGCCGTGGAAGTCTGTGGATGTTCTCCTCTGACTGCTTCTATTTTCTAATAAGAAATGAACTGAGAGCAGAGGAGGTACTGGAAATCTGAGCAGGAAAGAATGTTCCAGTAGCTAAAATGGAGCAAAAATTCACTAAGAACAGCGTGATCTCTAGGCAGCATGAATGTTCAGCTGAAGTTAGCAACATGAATGTTCGGCTGACTTTAAAGTGAAACCAGCTGGCATAAGCTCTGAGTCTTTCCCCAGTTACACTGAGCCAGGCAGGAGCAGACACTGCAGAGGCAGAAAGCTGGCCTCAACGAGGCTGGACTTCAGTCCAGAGGAAGCAAGAGAGGCGAGGTGGGGAAAGGCGTGCGTGAGCGACTGTACTGACTAGAGCAGGGTTTCAGCTGGGAGGAGAGGGGAATGAAGACATGGGTGTAGGGAGGGATAATGTCACAGGGGTTCTAGGAGTGAGGTCCAAGGTCAGTGAAGTCAGAACCTAGACAAGAGAGTGGTTCCCCTTTCAAAGTGGACTGGAGGAATATATATATATATATATCTCAATGGCAATTTCGTCCACATCTTAAAGGTATGCTTCGTTTTTTGTACTTTCAGAAATTTTTGACTTTAGTAAGATTTTCTAAAGTATTTTTCAAATTCTCATTCCCATGTTTCACCTCCATTATCTGAAACAGCCTCCTTCCTCCATCAAACAAACGAACTGAAGATAATCCCAATAAATAGCCTGCCTTTCACTCTGCAATTCACTTTTTGGTACAGAAAAAAACAGAGAAGGGGAGGGAGACTCTGATGAACCTCAAAACACTCAATCTTGGGGCACCTGGGGGGCTCAGTCAGTTAAGCGTCCAACTTCAGCTTAGGTCATGATCACAAGATTCCTAAGTTCAAGCCCCATGTCGGGCTCTGTACTGACAGCTCAGAGCCTAGAGCCTGCTTTGGATTCTGTGTCTCCGTCCCTCTCTGCCCCTCCTCTGCTCGTACTCTGTCTCTCTCTCTCAAAAACATACATTAAAAATTTTTTAAAAACACTCAACCTCTAGTTCTGACACACACACGCCTATGGGACCAGCTCTCTGGTCAAGTATAATGAAGGAAGGTGCAAACACTAAGCTTAAAAAAGTGACACATTTACTACACATAAGATTTCTCTAAGTCCTTAAAAGCTAAAAGACTTACTTGAATAAAGCAAAGTTGTGTTGTTATTTGTAGGAAATTTGAGTACCGCCCCATGGAACGGTCTGTAACAGGAAACTGTGGGTCTAGAAGAGTGCTTTATTGGCCGCAGAGTGCCTGCGAATCGCGTCAGAAGCCTTCCACCAATGACCCACCGGAGCCCCTGCCAGGAGAGTCTGCCCTAAGAGACGGAGGCGGGCCCCGGAACAGTGCTCTGCAAGGGCTCTGCACTCCAAGCGTGAATGAGAACCGGACTGGGCCCTAGACTGCCTAGAATACAAGTCTCTGGTGACCGCTACCTTTCTTTTTTTCACAATCTATCAGAAGTTCCAAAACCTCCTAAAACTGTTTTACCGTTAATTACTTCCTTACTGTGGAATACTTTGGGTCAAATTCGAACAATGCCTGTAGTGTTTACATCTAACCCGGCACTCAAAATCGCAGAGGTGGTGGATTTTATCCCTCTGATAAACACAACTTGCTAAAGGCGACACATAAATAAATGTGGAGCTGGACTCACCCGTTCCATAGCCGCATTGTGATACGGGAGCTCCTCTTCGCTGCAAAGGAAGAAGAGTCTATGTGAAATCAAGGAAATCACAGGAACTTTTTATTATTTTCTTTTTAAGTTTATTTGAGAGAGAGAGCGTGTGTGCATGGGTGAGCAGGGACAGGGGAGGGAGAGAGAGACAGACAGACAGACAGAGACAGACAGACAGACAGGGAGGGAGAGAGAGAGAGAATGAATCCCAATCAGGCTCCGTACTGTTAGCACAGAGCCTAATGCAGTGCTTGAACCCATGAACTGTGGTATCATGACCTGAGCTGAAATCAAGTCAGACACTTACCCGACTGAGCCACCCAGGAACCCCCACAGTGAACTTTTTAAAAATTATATACCTATAGGGACCTATGACATACAACCCTTTATCTGTCATCATAAGAATGGATCAAGGTACATAAGCTTCCATTCTACCAAATTCAGTACAAAACAATCAGCTATTCTGTAAGTACAAGGTCCCCTATCTTTAAATCTCTAGACATACACTACCCAGGACAGTCATCTGTAGCCACATGTGGCTGCTGAATCTTAAATCTTAAATTCAAATTAAATAAAAGTAACAGTTCAGTTCCTCGGTCTCACTAGCCACACTGCAAGTGTGAGCCGGCCAGGTGGATAGAGGCTACTGTTGTGAGCAGTGTGTACAGGAAGAATGGTCCTAACCCTGCCAAACAGCCCTACTGGACAACACTCCCGCAGCCCAGGAGGCCAGGAACCTTCTTCCGTGAAGGTAACCATTGAAACCATTGAATATATTGGGCTTTGCAGACCATACTGCCTTTTTCATGACTATTAAACTCTGAGGTTGTACTGTGCAAGCACAAGCAATGTGAAGATGGCATGCAGTTTTATTCCCACAAAATGTTTACAGAAGCAGGTAGTGAGCTGAAGGTGGCCCACAGGCCATCATTTGCTAAGCCCTACTCTACACCACCTCCTCAACTCTTGGGCTCAAACCACAGCCTCTAACAAATGATCGCTTAAAAACAAATGTATAAGGAAACAAAACTATCTCCAATAGATTCATGAATTAAAAGGAAAAATCTAGGGGTGCCTGGGCAGCTCAGCTGGTGAAGTGTCTGACTTCAGCTCAGGTCATGATCTCACAGTTTGTGGGTTCCAGCCCTGTGTCAGGTTCTATGCTGATGGCTCAGAGCCTGGAGCCTGCTTTGGATTCTGTATCTCCCTCTCTCTCTGCCCCTCCCCCACTCATGCTCTCTCTCTCAAAAATAAATAAACATTAAAATTTTTTTAATAAAATGAAAAATCTAACTCTATGAATCAGGAAAGCTTCATTTGCCAAACCTTCAATAGGGATGAGTTTTAAATGTACAACAAAAGATCAAATTCATTTTTCTGATACTGTAATTCGATGATATCATCTCTAACCTAAAACATGCTAAGACTCTTGTATTAACTGCCGGAAACATAAAGACAATGCACTGTCTGTAACAAAGTTATGTGCTTTGAATTGCTACCTCAGTAGTACTGATATCTTGGCAATGATACACAGATTCCTGTCTTCGCTTCTCTTGAACCACATAATCCCATTTTTAAGAGTGCAACACATTAGTATTCAAGAGTCTAGTATTTTCAAAGGCACTCTTGCTACTCTGAAGAGTCCTTAGGTGAACCACAAACCAATGTATAGCAATGGAACTGGCAAAAAGTGTAATAGCCAAAGGAGATGTTAGATAGTCCAAACTCCTCATTTCAGAGATAAGAAAATGAGCATTTTCACTCAGTCACAGTCCCTCAGCCTAATATAGAGATGCTCAACACTATCTTCCTAACCCTGTGGGTTCAAATGAAAATGGACAAGATCTGGGGCGCCTGGGTGGCTTAGTTGGTTAAGCGTCCGACTTTCGCTTAGGTCATGATCTCGCGGTTCGTGGGTTCGAGCCCCGCGTCGGGCTCTGTGCTGGCTGCCAGCTCAGAGCCTGGAGCCTGTTTCAGTCTGTGACTCCCTCTCTCTCTGACCCTCCCCTGCTCACGCTGTCTCTCTCTCTCTCTCTCCTAGAAATAAATAAAACATTTAAAAAAAAAAAAAAGAAAAAGAAAATGGACAAGATCTTCAGATTGTGTAGGAGAAGATGAAGGAGAGGCTGAGAAACCAATTTTCAAGAAAAAAAAAAACCTGAGGAATTAATATAAAAGTCTTTTTTTTTTTTTTAATAAAAATGTAAAGTGTCCACTCACCCTTATGGAAGGTGACACCTTGGACTTTTTATACCTTTCACTGTGCTCACAGTCTGCATTTCCCTGCTTCCTACAGCCAGTGAGGCACGAAAGGCCCAGCACATGACTTCGGGTTTAAAAGCGCACCCATCCCTTCTTCGCTGGCTGGCAGAAGAGGGCTCATCAACACCTCAGGAACTTATCTCTTAAGTGCAGGGTCAGCAAGGACGTCCCGGGACAACAGGGACCCCCGGCACCCTTTGTGCACACCATGAATGGCGTTTCTGGAGACAGGAGGCTGCCCTGGGCAACGGCGGCTTCTCGTGCAGCGGATCAGCGCAGATCCTGATGACTGTTTATTTGAACTTTCCTGACTGCAGACGGAGGGCCAGCTCCAGCTGCCTCCCACAGGACAAGCTGTTTGCAGGTGCTGGGACAACTCTCTGTGGGTCTTCGACTTTGTGAGACAAGCCTCACAAACTTCGCTGTGCCTGTTCTCAACACTGAAGCGGAACCAAGTTTTGCACTTGTCTGTGGAACGGTGCTGACCGTCTATCGGCTCAGGCCACGTGGCCTGTGTTGGGCAAGTCCTACAGAACGTGCTGGTGAAGTTCAAGATGCGGCAGGACTGCTCTCCGCATCCCACTCCTTCTTCACATCAGACCCTACTACTGAAAACCCTGGGAGAGACAGATGCAGGAACGAATCTATATGTAACTGGAGGCGGCCGCAGGCAGACTCCACAGAGAGACAGACTTGGACTTGAATTTCCCTTCACCTCAAAGTTTTCCATCATCTCCATCTGCCGTGTCTCAACCCACCAGGATCCGGGTGCCTGTGCAGCACCTCCAGCGTATCCCCAGATACTCCTACTAGCCAAGCCTTTTTTCATATGCATTTTTAAAATTTATTCTTTAAACTTTTTTGAGATATAACTGACTATAACATTATATTAGTTTTAGGTGTACAACATAATGATTTTTTTAACTTAAAATTTTTTTTAATGTTTAGTTATTTTTGAGAGTGAGAGAAACAGACACAAGTGGGAGAGGGGCAGAGAGAGAAGGAGACACAGAATCTGAAGCAGGCTCCAAGGTCTGAGCTGTGAGCACAGAGCCCAGACGCGGGGCTCGAACTCACGCATAATGATCTGAATTATGTATATATACAAATTGATTACTATATTGAGTTAACATCCATTACCATACATAGTTATAAGTTTTTTGGCTTTTTTCCTTCTTATGAAAACTTTTAAGATCTATTCCCTTAGCAACTGTGAAATATGTAAGAGAGTATTATAACTATTGTCACCATTCTCTGCACTATGTTCCCAGGACTTACATACTTATAACTGAAAATTGGACTTTTGGTCACATTCACCCATTTTGCGTACCTCCCACAACCACCATCCCTGATCTGGCCTTTGGCAACCACCAACCTGTTTGTTTGTTTGTTTGTGTGTGTGTGTGTTTTAAAGTCCACATATAAATGATGACATATAGTATTTGTCTTTCTCTATCTGATTTATTTCACTTAGCATAATGTCCTCAAGGTCTATCCATGTCATCATAAATGGTAAAATTCCATTCTTTTTTGTGGCTGAATAAAATATGTGTGTGTGTGTGTGTGTGTGTGTGTGTGTGTGTGTACGTACATTTTCTTTTCCATTCACCCATCAACCCATCAATGGACATTGGGTTGTTTCCATGTTTTGACTATTGCAAATAATGTTGCAATGAACACAGGGGACAAAAATCCTTTTGAGATAGTGATTTTCCTTTGCATAAATAACCAGAAGTAGAACTGCTGGATCACATGTAGTTCTGTTTTTAATTTTTTGTGGAACCTCTGTCCTGTCTTCCACAATGGCTGCACCAACTTACATTCCTACAAGCAGTGCACAAGGCTCCCTTTATTTCCACATCCTTGCCAAAACATGTTATTTCTTGTCTTTTTGATACTAGCTATTCTAACTGCTGTGATCTCATTTCTCATTGTGATTTTGATTTGCATTTCCCTGGTGACTGGTGAGGTTAACCACCTTTTCATGTACCAGTTAGCCATTTGTATGTCTTCTTTGGGAAGACGTCTATTCAGGGACTTTGCCCATTACTTAACTGGACTGTTTTTTGCTACTGAGTGGTATAAGTTCTTTATATGTTTTTGGATATTAACCCCTTATCAGATACCTAATTTGAAAATACCTTCTCCCATCTGGTAGGTTGCCTTTTTATATGCTGTACAAAAGCTTTTGGGTTTGATGTAGTCCCATTTGTTTATTTTTGCTTCTGTTGCCTCTGCTGTTGGTATCAGATCCACAAAATCACAGCCAAGACCAATGTCAAGGGGCTTTGTGCCTATATTTTCTTCTAGGAGTTTTATGGTTTCAGGTCTTACATTCAAGCCTTTAATCCACTCATTCTGTTGCAAGTGGCTGCCCAGTTTTCCTTCTACCACTTACTGAAGACACTGGCCTTTCCCTATGGTAGTAAGTTAAAGGGGCATATATGCATAGGTTTCTTTCTGGACTCTCAAGTCTGTTCCAATGATCTATGTCTCTATTTTTATGCCTATACCATAATGTTTTGACTACTAGAGTTTCGTAATATAGTTTGAAATCATGAAGTGTGAGGCCTCCAGCTTTGTTCTTGTTTCTCAAGATTGCTTTAGTTACTTCAGTCTTCTGTGGCTCCACACACGTCTTAGGATTGTACGTGTACTATTTCTGTGAAACATGCCACTGGAACTTTGATAGGCAGTATACTGAATCTGTAGATAGCTTTGGTAAGTATGGATATTTTAACAAAATGAAATCTTCCA